TAATGAGATTCGACTGATTTGGACCCCAGCTCATATAGGCATTTTGGGCAATGAGAGAGTGGATAAATTAGCTAAACAAGCAATTAAAAAATGAGAATATTGAAGTAAATATAAAGATGTCAAAATCTGAAGGAAAAAGTATAGTTTGGAAAGAAGCCATGAGAGAATGGCAACGTCAGTGGGACAGGGAAGCTAAAGGAAGACATTTGTATGCCATTCAAAATAAAGTTGGTGCAGAGAGGAATTGGGGAGGGACTAGGAGAGAAGAAATAGTGATGACAAGATTAAGAATAGGACACAGTAATTTAAATAGTACATTACACATTATAGGGAAGCATCCTACTGGTTTTTGTGAATATTGTCAGACAGAAACCATAGAACATGTTCTTTTGAATTGCAGAAGGTATATAACATCGCAGGAGAATAATCCAGTAGATGGCGGTAATGCAACGCTCTTGGATGCAAGCTGCCGTTAAACCTCGAAGAAGAGAAGAAGAAGATGTTCATTTGTGGAAATGACAAGTTCTTCTTCGGCTTTTGCCGTGGTACTGCGGGTTACACCAGCAACATGCTCGTGGACACTGCAGACTAGCGGTTTGCATGTGTACTGCACCTTGACGCGGACAACGACGCAGAAGTATAAATGAAAACTGACGCATAGCCTACGGCGTAAAGGCTACGGCGTAGGTCCGACGCAGAAGTATAAATCAGCCTTTTAAGCCAGGATGCGCTGATTAAACTAGGTCAAGCCGCACCTTTTCTGTTATCCTGGCTTTCTTAATTCTACTTTTGTGCAATACCCCTCTGTTTGACGTTAAGTATCTCTGTATGTTTGTTTTTGAAAAAGAAAAAAACAATAAACCAAAAGTAAAGCAAATAGAATTTGGCGGTTTTTTGATGATCCCGCCTCGCGGCGATGACCTCATCACTAGCGCGAGCTCACTCCGTCAGCGTCGAGTGTTCTGAGGAGAGGTGAGCAGTTCACAGTATTTCACTTATTTGCACAACTGTAAAATATACTTTACTTTTTTTATACGAGGTCGTTTCTGCCTTGTTTTAATCGTGCACAGCGCTGTTTCTGCGTTTGCTAACTTAAATAAGCGTGAGGAAAACGTTTATCTTTGGCTGATCAAACTTGTTATAGTCACTTTACATGGTTATAATTACTTACAAACACTGATAAATGCATCATATTGAGCCCAATTAATGAGCCACGTGGGACATTTTATATTATAAATCTGTTCGTGTATAGATTTAAAATGTCCCATGTGGCAATGAAATGCATATAATGTGTGCATTATTGCCACATGAGATTGCACTGTTACTGAGTGAGCTCTTGTCTCTTCAAAGATACAATTTAGAGGACATCTCCTTCACCTTTTACAAATTGATGTTTCGTATTTATTTCATTTAATGAAATTTGTTTTACATTTTAGAATATAAACAAATGTTAAAAATAAAATAATCATTCAATAATTATAATCGAGCTAAAGTGTTCAATTAATTGAGGTTTTGATTTTAGGTCATATTGTCCAGCCCTATTTCCGCTATTATATCATGGTTAATTTTTATGTCCTTTCACAGTTTTTTTTTTTTTTATGAGTTACTAAAAAAATAAAAAATTTTAATTTAATTTCAGAGTCAATCAACTTACAGCACATATGAGAGTTCATACTGGAGAGAAACCATTCACGTGTGATCAATGTGGGAAGAGTTTCACACAATCAGCAAGCCTTAAGAGACACATGAACATCCACACTAGAGAGAAACTATACACACGTGATCAGTGCAGAAAAACATTTTTGAGAGCTTCATACCTGAAGAATTTTTGAGGGAGGGCCCTTTTTGCTCTGTAACCTCGTAAGTGTGATAGGGTTCTGAACACAACACAAGGGTTAACTCGGCCTCCAAATTCCCCAGATCTCCATTGTGAAATGTTTGCTACTAAAATGAATGAAAAAACCTTGGCATTATTTGACTCTGTATCCAGTACTGGTGTGTTGCTGTGTTTCAGAAGGTTTATTACAGATTATGTCATGATGTTCAGTGTCGTACTGAATATTCTCGTTAGTTCGTTCAGATAATGTGGAGCTGCAGCCGCGCTCTCACCAAAACCTCTTATACACTGCATTTACCATCTGATAATTAATAAGAAATACCAAACAAGTATTAATAAAGGTGCTGACGACTGATGCTTGAGAGACACAAACTTTAATCACATCTCCGTTTTTCCTGTTTATTCAGGACTTTTCTGTTTTTACAGAGAGTCTCTTTCACCTAGAGATCATACTATAGAGACTGCGTCTGTTCCCCGAACTATAATCAGCTATATAACTAGCAAATCACTGATTCTTGAGAAGTGGGACAAAAACATGGTGCAATATTGAAAAAATAAAACCTTGTGCTCAGACAAATGAAACTACATTTGTGTCTTAATTTATTCATGAATCTTACATGTATTAAGCTACTGAGCTATGCTTTGATTCAACCTCCCAACTTTTCTCTTTTATCAAAATGTGCTTTTTACTTTGGACTGTGTAATATAAAGTTAACTATCCAAACCATCAATTACTGTATTAAAACAAATACAACAAACACTGAGTGTGTTACTGTTTATAACATTTTTAATCAAGATTCACATTTAAGTATTTTGATATATCGTTGGAAAACTTCAGCCTCACACAATCCAAATTCTGGCCAGAGGAGAACTGACCCCAGACTGAGCCTGCTCTCTCACAAGTGTTTTTTTTTTCTTTTCTCTCCATTTCTTTCTCCGCTTGAGTTTTGGTTCCTCGCCACTGTCACCGTTGTTTTGCTTAGTTGGGGACACTTCATTTCTGGCAGGATTGTAGACTTGATTAAAACACGAGGAACCAGAACCCCGGAGAATAAAACACGAGGAACCAGAACCCCGGAGAATAAAACACGAGGAACCAGAACCCAGGAGAATAAAACACGAGGAACCAGAACCCCGGAGAATAAAACACGAGGAACCAGAAACTTGGAGAATAAAACACGAGGAACAAGGGTGGTGTTTATTCTTCATTCATCTTTGACTATTTGTGGTACATCCACAGATCCTTTATGTGAAAATAAGACCGAATTACACTTGACCGTGTTCTTCTTAATGCTGGCTTGACCGCATTTGGCAACTGGTGATGCGTGGCGCTGCGACCTGACGCTGCCAACAAATATACTAAGGCTAATAGATAAACTAAGTTGACTGAAAGAGCAATACTAGCAATTAGCACCAAACTATATAGCTATGTAATTGCTAAATAGGTTAATTGCCTATTAGGCCATGTATTAGAAAAGTTTGAATTAGTAGAATATCCACTGTTATGAAAACTACAGAATAAACGCCTACAGTGTATTTATGACAACCTTTTACGGTAATATGTTGCATTTACGGGCTACATAAATTTCACCTCAATAAATGTTAGCCTGGAATGAATGCAAATTCCCATGATAAACATCTGGGATTTTGGAGCACCAACTTGTAAAAGTGCTTACCAGTAGGTCAACATAACTACAATGCGTTCTTTTGTCTTATTCTGCCCTCTAGTGGCTTATATTGAAATCAATACAAACCTTAACATAATGAGACTTATGTCGAAATAACGACTTATGTCGAAATAACGACTTAATATGTCGAAATAACGAATTCATATCTCGAAATAACGAGTTATGTCGAAATAACGACTTAATATGTCGAAATACGACTTAATATGTCGAAATAACGAATTAATATCTCGAAATAACGAGTTATGTCGAAATAACGACTTAATATGTCGAAATAACGACTTAATATCTCGAAATAACGAGTTATGTCGAAATAACGACTTATCTCAAAATAGCGACTTAATATCTCGAAATAACGACTTAATATCTCGAAATAACGACTTAATATCTCGAAATAACAAGTTATTATGTCGAAATAACGAGATAAGTTTTATTTTTTACACCACCATAAGTTTTCTTTCTTTTTTTTTTCCACCATGCGGTTCAGGGCTTCCGTAGGAAGCAACTACTCCTTTTAGTCATAAAGATAATCGGATTTGTAAAAGATTTGCCTTTATTTGTGTACATTCACAATAAAAACAGATCTTTGTGCTTTTGTAAAACAAGCCTAGAAAAATATGCCACTTACCGTCCGTTTCCTTTCGTGCAGCACAACAAAATTCTCTTTCGTTTTCTTAATTTATTATTTAAGTAAAAATATATTTGTCGTATAGGCCTATTTATTCGTTTTATATATATATAGCCTAGCTTTTATTATGTTTTTCTCCACTGCAGAAGCGTGCAGGTGCGTGATGTGTTATGATGTTCTGTTGTTTGTTGCTTTTTGCGCATGTAAAATGAATCCCCAGGAAACAAATGTAAGTATTTTTAACGGGTCACAGACACTTATCCTTTCTAATTTAATTAAATTCTAATTTAAAATAATCTTGTCGGTTAACGGTTAATAATCTGTTAACGAGCGTCGGTTGTCGGTTAGGAAAACTAACCGAAATGAACATCTAGCTCTATGTAGCCTGCTGTGTAGACCGTGAAGCTGTTTCAAACATAAAGCTTTACATGATGAGCGCTGCTCTCTCTGCATCAGCGGCTGCGCAAAAGCAGGTTTAAATATTCCGATGTGATTGTGATTTCAAAGGTTTAATAGACATTGCAGAATCACCGTCATTTAGGAATAAGAACGCGCGTGTTTGAATCGAAATCTTAATCTTTTAATGATTAAACGTGCATACATATGAGCCTTATAGCCTATGTATTTTTCAAGCCCATTTGTACCAGACCTCAAAAGTAACCCGGGCCCAGGCCAGGGCAGCCCCCCCGCTTCCGCGATCCATGATTCCTACTGGAATAAACATTCCCTCGAAACGCGATTGGGCTAGTTTTGAGTAGCAATTGGGCGGGTTTTGTTGCGAAAACCTGGCAACCCTGTTCCCTTCCCTCATTCAGTCAGCGTCGAGTCTTCTGAGGAGAGTTCAGCAGCTCACGGTATTTCTCATATTTACACAACTATCAAACACACTTTATACAGTCTGTTTAAGCCACATTTTACAGGCTCATTTCTGTATTGTTTTCATCGGGTTCAGCGCTACTTGTGCATCTTTTCTTGCTTCTTTCTACTGAAATAAACATTTAGTGCAGCAGCAGCAGCATGTGAGGAAAATATGAATTCATTCAGACCTGAGCGAGTTTGAGTGCTTTTGTGTGATTGTTTCGATGTTTGGAGTGAGAACTGTTACTGAATGTCAAGCCAAAAGTTAAAGTTTGAAGATCTGTGAGGAGAATTGATGGGAATCGATCTTAAATGTTGCTGCCTGCTGACATTTTATTTTCTACTCTTTTGACGTCTTTGGATCAAATATGATACTTACTTTACATTGTTAAAATACACTGGAACAGATACTGCTTAATACTTTACCTTGATACGTGAGACCTTTTAAATCTATATGTACATGTTAATCGATAAATATGAATATAGTTTGAAGCTGAAAACATTTTGCTTTGGTGCTTTTTATTTTTTGGAGGTTTTATGATTGTTGTCGGTTTCTGCACATTCAAAAATGCAACATGTAAATATTCTAATTAAGTTACTTTATTGCAATGGATGTACTTACTAGAAACTGTAGCGAATCAGCTCATGAGAAATATGAATAATTAATCATAACTAGTTATAATTAATTATAAATATTTAGATCCACTGTAGATATTTACTTGACCTCTCAGGGTCAACTGTCTGTCAATTCTAAGAACGTTAATTTCCTGGTTAAGGGAAATAACGTTCTTACTGTACAATTCTACACCGAGCTTGTAGCATAAATCTGCATGATTAAGTGACTCCAGTTATGAGCAAACAATGAACAACGTCAAGTGTGATACAAGTAAGACTTTATTAACTACATAAACACTTAAACTAGTCTAACATACTACATAAACACTTAAACTGGTCTAACATACACATAAACACTTAAACTGGTCTAACATACACACACACACACACACACACACACACACACACGCATACAGTTGGTATAGGAAAGGGTTAAAGCTTAAGCAGTAAAGAGGAGAGAAAT